CAGCCGCAGCCGCACACCCGCATCCTGTAGGCCCTACACACCTCCTCCCGCCACAGACTCCCGGTGCCAGGCTGCCCATGCCATCCCCGCCCATCCCTGCTCTGCAGTACCAGCCTGCACACCCCATGCTGCTCTGGAACGTTCTCCGTGCCCCTGCTGAGACCCACCAGGACCCACCCCACGTTCACACCCTAGCACACCGCCACTTGCCCAAAAGAGCAGGGCTCCCTCTTCTGTGCACAGACCCAGCCCCGAGCCCTGTCCTCCCCACACCAGGTTGCTCAGGAGGTCCCATCACGCATTGCCTCCTGCGCCACAGAGCACCATGCCCAGGCCGCCTCTCCAACCACGACGCCCTGGCCCTGCCTCCTGGGCCACAGACAGCACCTCTGCAGTGCAGCACGCTGCACGCCCCAGCCACCCCTCACGCCGCACTGCGGTGCTGTGAGGCTGCAGCGAGGCTGTGGGCGACTGCTGGGTTTGGGCAGCCCCCTGCCCTGGGAGGGCGGGCAGCTCACACCCTGTCCTAAAGCAGACACGGGGCCTGCAGTTTGTCTTCGGGGCATCTCTCTGGCTCACGTCTGTCCATGGCTGCCTCGGAGCTGAGGAGCTGGAGACGGACCCTTGGCTCACAGAGCCCAGCATCTTCCGTAAGCAGCAGTTCGCAGACTCCTGCTAAGTCAACCCTGCGACCGGCCTGTCCTGGGAGCCGCCTTCTCCCCGCCAAGGACCTCATGCCAGCTAGCCCCTCGCATGGTTTCCACAGGCACCGATGCGGTTCTCAGGGTCTGGCAGAGCACAGGGCGGACCCTGGGGTGAGCCGTCCTACCCACACCCATGCCGGGCCCGGGCCCTGCACCCTGTGCTCAGCAGCACCCAGGAAACCTGCCGGCCAACGCTGCAGTCTCCCTCGCTCAGCAGGACAGCCCACACCTGTCTCTGCAGTGCTCCCCGTTGCTCCCCAGCTTCCATCAGTGCCATCTGGACAGCACGGCTCCTTGGGATGCAGCTGCACGTGAGACCGGACCGCTCCTATCCCCTCCAGCCAGCTCAGACCTGAAGCTCACCCACAGCAGCTCTCGAGGACTGGGCCTCCCCCACCACTGCCAGACCCTCTCGGACCCGCCTCTCAGCCCTTGTGCTCATGTACTTTATCCTGTCTTTCAGGAAGCCACAGAATCGGCTCCTGGGGCTAAGGGGACCCTGGACAAGGGCGCTGCAGCGCGCTGGGCTGGAGCGCTGGCGGGAGGGTGGGGACACGCCGCGTGTTCTCAGATGCCGCCAAATGGCACGGTGACGGCCGACTACCACAAAAGCCACCCTCCCACGGCATGGGCGGCTTCCTGGGAAACACCAGACCAGGTAGGGACACCAGACCAGAGTGTTCTCAGGGGACCTCCCAGGGCCCAGGGCAGCCGGACTAGCCTGTCTGCTTCTAGCACGGCCAAAGCTGAGCCCTGAGGCCACCACAGCCCTAGTGCCTCAGGGGAGCTCGGCCAGGACTCCAGGGAAGGACAGGCAAGGCCCTCCTCCTCTCGACCTTGAGGGCAGCCTGAGAACACGGGAGGCCAGGATGACGATGACCTGCGAAACCCGCCTGAGTGTCTCCTGCACTCCCGCCGTGGGTGCCGGTCCAGAGCCCACACCCCTCCGACCCCGCGGCCCGGGCGAGCTTACAGCGGATCCCGTAGATGGTGAGCGGGTCGAGCTGCTTCTTGCCGTGCTTGCCCTGGCCAGAGAGGTTGGAGACGGCTTGCACCTCGCGGTGGAAGAGGTAGTCCAGGAGCGTCAGCGCCATCTTCTCGGCGGTGCGGCAGTTGGTGCTGATGTGCAACATGTCGGAGGGGACGATGGCGCAGCGCACCCGCATCTCGGGGTTGCTCTCGTCACCCAGCCACGTGCCGTTGGGGTAATCCTCTGCAAGAGAGGGCGGGAGTCTCAGGGCCGGGACTGTGCCGCAGGCCTGCTCCAGACCGCCGGCTCAGACACCCGCACAGACCCCCACCCAACCTCCCTGCGACTCCCTGCGAAAGGCAGGCCCCCTGCTGTGATCTGATGGGCGCAGAACCGCCGTCTCGGCCCAGAGCGGCCACCTAACCCTCCATGGCTGTCGGAGGCAGAGCGAGAGCGACTGTACCAGGCAGGTCCCCTGTTCTGCACTCGGTGGGATTCTGGGGGCCGGGCCTGCACACCACCAGGCAGAGCAAGGGGCACAGGGTTTCGCCTCAGCCCCATCCCCGTCCCTACGTCCAGCTTCTGGCCCTGCCCACGGCTCTCAGGAGGGTTGGGGGCTACTGCCGAAAACCCTGCAGCACCCTCATCAACACTGCCAGACCCAACGTGCAGGCCAAGCCCACCCGAAGCCCTGGAGGAGGGGACAGCCAGCGAGCTCGGTCCGCAGCTCCAGGCTCTCACCCTGCCCTAGCAGGGCAGGCGGCTGTCGGCAGCAAGGCCACATTACACGCTGGGAGCTTCAGCCCACATCGGAGAGGGGTGCACAGGACACCACCCAGGAGCACTCCCTGCAGCCCTCCCCCGACCAGTCTGCGCGGCCTCACGGGACACCTGTCTCGGGGACAGACACCTCTTCCTGGTTTGGAGGCTCCACACACTCATCACCACAAAGGGGCAGCAAGGCCGAGCCCCGTCCTGACCCACACGGCTGGGCAGAGCTGAGGCTGGCAGTGCTGCTGGGTGGCGAGGCCGGGCCCAGGCCGCAGCTCAGGATAGTCACAGGCAGCACATAGTCCAGGCCAGGAGAGCGAAGCACAGCTCCTGAGGGAGGCCGGCAGCAGGGACGAGGTGGCTCTGCACACGGCCCGGTGCAGCCTCGGCCTGCATGCCACCACTACCATGTCGGCCCACGACTGCAAACCAAACGGAAACACAGGCTGCAAGGTGGGCGGTGGAGCCCTGGGGCTGCGTGGAGGCCCACGCCGGGATGCTGGAGACCCCAACTCTGGGCACCTTTACTTACCGGCAGACACAGTCTAGGCAACGGCCTGCCCAGCCAGGGCCTGGCGCTCAGACCTATACTGACTTCAGGGTCTCCAGTCATGCAGGGTCTCAGTGACTCTGGACACAGGAGAGGGCGCCCTGGCCGGCTGTGGTCCAGTCACGACCCCTGCAGGGCCCTGAGGGAGGGCGTGGGCTCAGGCAGAAGCAGGGAGTCTTCTGGGATGTGGAGGCCAACCGTGTCAAAGTAGGTGGACAGACCTGGGGGGACCAACACTTGGAGCACAGCACACGCCGGCCACGCGCACAGAAGTGAGTTGCAGGAGGAACTGGTGGGCCATGGCTGGGCCATGCCGCACAGGGCCAGGCTTCGGGCACAGCTCTCCCTCCACCCCTGCCACACCGCCTGGGTCACATCACCTAGACTGGACCCTCCCGGTGCAGTGGGCAAGGGAAGAGCAGTCTCGCCCATCTGGCATGGAGGCCGGGGCATACAGAGACCTGCCTGCGGCGGGTCAGCGTGAGTCACTTCAAGCCAGTG